TACTGTTTTTAAAAATATATTTTTGTTTTTGCTTTAACTTGTACATGCATTTGTGTTTTTTAATTTTTTTTGGTTTAGTTTTTTTTTTATTGTTTTTTTTCCCACAAGTCTTTATTTCCATGTGTTGTTTTTAAAAATTTCCTTCTCTTGTTTTCCTTTACCTTACCCTGGATTCACACTAGATGCGACTCCRCTCCACTGAGCTGCGGTGCGGTGCACAGGTCACAGCTGTTCATTTTCACCCCAATTTATACAGCGTTCGCTCGGCTTAGCTCCCCTCCACTCCTGTGCAACACAGAGAGGAGAAAGCATGTGCAGGAAGGAGACTGGGGTTGAAACGGCATTGCTGTCGTCTTTTTGGAACTTCTGATTTCAAAATAAAATCCATGTGTATKGTGCGTGTACACATATGTTTATGTTGCCATCTGCTTCCTAAATAGAACGATACATTCTGACAGCATTTGTGTAGAAATATATCCATACATWTTTTTAATATGGATGGGATTTTGACAAAATTAGTCCACTCCAGGGTATCTTGTTTTGAAAATAAGGATGTTGTTTGTCCGTAGTCTAGGGCTCCCCGGGCCTGGCGGTCTGTCCAGAGGAAGAGGTTTTGGGCCTCACATAACAAGGAGCAACATTTTTACATCTCCACTTGCCATAACCACCTGGGCCCTAATTTTATTGTACACCCTAGACATTCACTTACAACATCCTCATGACATTCACATATAGGGACTTGGGGGTGGGAACTCTATGGCATGCAAGGGGCGAGGTGGAATCACTCTCTGATGCCTGTGCCCACTCCCAATGGATGCTTGTTTAGGGTTTTGGGTTAGAGTTGGGGTGGAGGGAAAACTGGTACCATGCCGGCCTCTGCCCCTTCTTCCCCATTTTAATTGCACTATAGAAAAACACACATCAACAGCACTTCTGAGGGTGGGAGTGTGTGTATGGGGGTCTTTTTTATCACTCCCCGTTCCCTGATTGCCATTTGGGGATGAGGTCCAGAGGAGGGGTGAACTGTCTGGTGGGGACCTGGGCTGCGGGTGGGCTTGGGGCCTTGGGGGGTGCCGGGGAGGGGGCTGGCACTCCGGCTTCCCTGGAGCTGTTTGGATTCCCGGAGGATGGCTCCTGGTTGTCTTGGTTGGCCCGCTGACCTGGGTGGCTGCCAGAGTCCGGCAGGTGGTCGGCTGGGGGTGATCCTTGGCTGTCTGCTCCTCTTCACACCAGAATGAATGGGTCTACCTCCCGGGTTCGGATGTGGGCTGCCCCCTGCAGAGGGTGGGTGCATGTCCAGGACCTGTTGGGTATAGAGTGTATATCGGGAGTGTGAGTGGATTATGGCATCCAGCTTGTGTGTCCTTGAATGAATAGTTGTGAGGATGAGGGTGGGATCATGTGATTGTGTCTGTGTATGATTGGATATTTTTCAGGCTGGGACTTGGGCTGCACACCGGCGTAATTTACACGGGGGATGGGGGGGTTATAACCCCCCCAATAATTTGATCCAGTCAATATAACCCCCCCA